GGGTCAAAAGTACATGTTCAAAAGATGGAGAAACAGCACTGCCAAACTCCACGGTTAGCGGTAATACACCCTACTCAAAACAAAAAAAAACATTAAAAATCCATAGTTTGCAATAAAATCCCGAAAAAAATCACAAATGTCAAGGAACACATCTTGCATGTCCTAGATTTTTTTTAGATGATTTATTAAATAATTTAAAGAAAGAAAAATCTTTAAACTTGAATGCCATATACTGCGGCAGTTGAAAACCCCATAAGATGCTCAAACATGCATAGATTCACGCCAATCTTGGCAGACCTTACTATAATCAAAGTATAAATAAATGTTCCACATTTGGCTAGTATTGCTATAAAACTTTTTGAAAAACAACAATTTCCTGTTAACACAAACTTTTGAAAAATCAGAGTGACGGACTTTTAAGAAGAGCTATGCTGTGTTTACCATCAAACACGAAGCAATTAAAGGAATATATTCCAAAACTCCTAGCTTTTTTGAGAAATCGACTGATTTTTTAGAAATATTTTAACAAAGTGATTCTATTTTCATAAGGGTACTGTTTGATTCAAAATGGCCGACTTCATGAGAGGTTTAGACCATGGCTCCAATGAAACTTTTTGTAGGTGGCGGGCTCATACAGATGTGTGCCAAATTTCATTATCCTAGGAATGAGCATGGCTAGGGGCTGAATTATTTCCTGGCATTATCTGTCCACTTGGCCAACTACTAGGCGAGAACGCAAACTTTTGAAAAATCAGAGTGACGGACTTTAAAGAAGCGCTTTGCTATTGTAACCAACTTATAGCAGGCTTTATAAAGAACATATTTTGAAAGTTTTAGCTCATTTGGATAAAATACTGATTTTATACAATTTTTTGAAAAGAGGTCAGTGCTTTCACAACAGAGTAAAATGTAATTCAAAATGGCCGACTTCCGGTGGGGTTTAGACCATGGGTCCAAGAGGCTTTTAGTTAGGGCCTGATGAGGTGCAAATGTGTTCAAAGTCTCAATATTCTAGGACTAAAAACGGCTTGGGGCTGGTGGTTTGAAGTTTGTTATTTCTAGGGGGCGCTGTAGTAAAAATTAAGCCCCGCCCACAAAGTATTGCTCTGGATTCCTGTTTGGAGTTGGACTAGGATCATCTCTTGTGATTTTGGTGCAGATCTGATTATAAATGGGGAAATGAGAGCCATTCGTATTTTCATGGCGAAACACCTCACTTCGGCATGGCGCCACGGCAACACCATTTGACTAAAGCTCTCTGTGCCTTAAACGAAGTTAGGACAACGTGTTGTCTGTCAGCTGACACAGTTTTAGGTTGTTGAGGTCAAGTAGGACAGAGAGGGACCATTCCAATTAAAAAACGTGACTTCCGGTTCTCAGGGGGCGTGGCTTCAATCATGTCAAAGTTTTAATATACAGTTTTGTTTGGAACCCAGAGAGGATTAATACTACCAAGTTTCGTGACATTTCACGTTTATATGTAAAAGTTATTGCGCTTCGAAAAGTGTTGGTGAGTACGCCAACTTCGAGGCCTGGCCACACCCCTTTAAAATGCTGGAAAACTCAAAAAGTTTGATAAGTTTAGATCTCACATGCCTTATCTGCATACATGCCAAGTTTGAAGCCGATGGCTCACCGTCCCTAGGAGGAGTTCGATCAAATATAGAGGCTAAAAATGCAAAATCACAGTCAAAATTTGAAATTGGATCCAAGATGGCGGACTCCCTGAGCATAATTTAGTATGACGTTAATTGACTTATTTGTAAGTGTGAGGACGCTCTACAAGTGTGCCAATTTTCATGTCTCTATGAGAAAAAAAGGTCAATGGGGAGGGTATTTTGAAAATTTTAAGGGGGCGCTGTTGAGGCATCTGGTTAGCAATTTTTACGGGGCCATTAAAATACGTAAATTTTCACCAGGTCTGATGCGTCTGCAAACTTTGGTGAGTTTTGGAATATGATAAAGCCTCCAAAAAGCCATTTTATTTGTAAGGAGAAAAATAATAATAAACACTACAGATACAATAGGCTCTCGCAGCAGCGCTGTCGCTGCTCGGGCCTAATTAAAACCGCGAGCGGTATTGACGGCCCTCGCAGCTCGCACCGCCTGGTATGTCGCGACCGCGGGAACCAAGCGACCGCCGGCTCCACGCTCCTTCCCAGCCTATTCTCCTGCTCTTCAGCCTATGCCTGCTGCTGCTTCCCCTCATCCTCTTCATCACCCTGTGCTGCTCCTCTTCATCCTCCTCTTTCTCCGCTCGGCCTATCGCGACCGCGGGAGGTGAGCGACCGCTGCCCCCTTGCTCCTTCCCAGCCAGCGGAAAAAGCGCCACGCTTCACCTCTGGACCAGCCGGAGACAACCACAGCTTTGGTCAGGAAGGGTTAAACTAGGGATAAAAGATAATATCTGGGGATGAATCTCATCTGTCAGATATTTGCTGTAGCAATCTCAGTTGGTGGGTCAAAAGTATATATTCAAAAGATGGAGAAACAGCACTGCCAAAACCCACGGTTAGCGGTATTACACCCTACTCAAAACAAAAAAAATCATTAAAAAATCCATAGTTTGCAATAAAATCCCCAAAAAAATCACAAATGTCAAGGAACACATCTTGCATGTCCTAGATTCTTTTTTAGATGATTTATTAAATAATTCAAAGAAAGAAAAATCTTTAAACGTGAATGCCTTATACTGCGGCAGTTGAAAATTATATCCTGGCATTATCTGTCCACTTGACCAACTATTAGGCAAGAACGCAAACGTTTGAAAAATCAGAGTGACAGACTTTAAAGAAGCGCTTTGCTATTGTAACCAGCTTACAGCAGGCTTTGTAAAGAACGTATTTTGAAAGTTTTAGCTCATTTGGATAAAAGGCTAATTTTATACACTTTTTTGAAAAGAGGTCCGTGATTTCACAACAGGGTGAAATGTAATTCAAAATGGCCGACTCTACTCAAAACAAAAAAAATCATTAAAAATCCATAGTTTGCAATAAAATCCCGAAAAAAATCACAAATGTCAAGGAACACATCCTGCATGTCCTAGATTTTTTTTAGATGATTTAATAAATAATTTAAAGAAAGAAAAATCTTTAAACTTGAATGCCATATACTGCGGCAGTTGAAAACCCCATAAGATGCTCAAACATGCATAGATTCACGCCAAACTTGGCAGTCTTTTCTATAATCAAAGGATAAATAACTGTTCCAAATTTGGCTAGGATTGCTATAAAACTTTTTGAGATACAACAATTTCCTGTTAACACAAACTTTTGAAAAATCAGAGTGACGGACTTTTAAGAAGAGCTATGCTGTGTTTACCATCAAACAAGTAGCGATTAGAGGAATATATTCCAAAAGTCCTAGCTTTTTTGAGAAAACGACTGATTTTTTAGAAATATTTTAACAAAGTGATTCTATTTTCATAAGGGTACCGTTTGATTCAAAATGGCCGACTTCATGAGAGGTTTAGACCATGGCTTCAATGAAACTTTTTGTAGGAGGAGGGCTCATACAGATGTGTGCCAAGTTTCATTATCCTAGGAACGAGCATGGCTAGGGGCTGAATTATTTCCTGGCATTATCTGTCCAATTGGCCAACTATTAGGCGAGAACGCAAACTTTTGAAAAATCAGAGTGACAGACTTTAAGGAAGCGCTTTGCTATTGTAACCAACTTACAGCAGGCTTTATAAAGAACATATTTTGAAAGTTTTAGCTCATTTGGATAAAATACTGATTTTATACAATTTTTTGAAAAGAGGTCAGTGCTTTCGCAACAGAGTAAAATGTAATTCAAAATGGCCGACTTCCGGTGGGGTTTAGACCATGGGTCCAAGAGGCTTTTAGTTAGGGCCTGATGAGGTGCAACTGTGTTCAAAGTTTCAATATTCTAGGACTAAAAACGGCTTGGGGCTGGTGGTTTGAAGTTTGTTATTTCTAGGGGGCGCTGTCGGAAAATTAAGCCCCGCCCAAAAAATATTGCTCTGGATTTCTGTTTGGAGTTGGACTAGGATCATCTCTTGTGATTTTGGTGCAGATCTGATTATTAATAAGGAAATGAGAACCAATCGTATTTTCATGGCGAAACGCCTCACTTCGCCATGGCACCACGGCAACACCATTTGACTAAAGCTCTCTGTGCCTTAAACGAAGTTAGGACAACATGTTGTCTGTCAGCTGACACAGTTTTAGGTTGATGAGGTCAAGTAGGACAGACAGGGACCATTCCAAGTAAAAAACGTGACTTCCGGTTCTCAGGGGGCGTGGCTTCAATTATGTAAAAGTTTTAATATACAGTTTTGTTGGGAACCCAGAGAGGAATGATACTACAAGGTTTCGTGTCATTTCAGTTTCATATGTAAAAGTTATTGCATTTTGAAAATGTTGGCGAGTACGCCAACTTCGAGGCCTGGCCACACCCCTTTAAGATGCTGGAAAACTCAAAAAGTTTGATAAGTTTGGATCTCACATGCCTTATCTGCATACATGCCAAGTTTGAAGCCGATGGCTCACCGTCCCTAGGAGGAGTTCGCGAAAGTTCGACGTCAACAAAATTGAAAAAGTGCCAAAAATCGGCCTTTGAGCCAAAATGGCTGACTTCCTGTAGGTTTTAGAGCATACCCATAATGTAACTTTTTTCATGATTTGGTGAGATCTATGCACCTGCCAAATCTCAAATCTCTGCGACTTACGGTTTTCCCCAACTCACGTTAGGGGGCGCTGTAGAGCCATTTGGCCACGCCCATTTTGGATTCCATTATCATACGTAAATTTCACTAGGGGGACAATTTACTGCCAAGTTTGGTGAGTTTTTGAACATGCTAAAGCCTCCAAAATGCTGTTTCTTTTACGCGGAGAAAAATAATAAATAATAATAATAATAATAATAATAACAAACGGTACAGGAACAATAGGCTCTCGCAGCGGTGAGCTGCTCGGGCCTAATAAACGGTACAGGAACAATAGGCTCTCGCAGCGGTGAGCTGCTCGGGCCTAATAAGGATTTAACAGTTCATATGAGAACTCACACAGGAGAGAGACCTTACTCATGTGTAACCTGTGGAAAGTGTTTCAGTCACAAATGTACTTTGACTTCACACCTAAGAACTCACACAGGTCTAAAGCCTTTCTCATGTCTGACCTGTGGGAAGAGTTTTGGCCAGAGAGGTCACTTATCTTCTCACCTGAGAGCACATACAGGAGAGAGGCCTTTCCTATGTGTAACTTGTGGAAAGGCTTTCAGTAGAAAAAGTTATTTATCTCATCACCAGAGAATTCATACAGGAGAGAAGCCTTTTTCATGTTTAATCTGTGGAAAATGTTTCACTCTCAAAACAACTTTAACTTTGCACTTAAAAACTCATAGTGGTGAGAAGCCTGTTTCATGTATGGCTTGTGGCAAAAGTTTTAGCCAGAGAGGATACTTATCTGCTCACCTTAGAGCTCATACAGGAGAGCGCCCTTTCGCTTGTATAGAATGTGGAAAGGTTTTCAGTCAGAAAAGTAGTTTAAATCGCCACCAGGAAGCTCATACTGGGGAGAAGCCATTTTCATGCATAAACTGCGGCAAAGGTTTTATTCATAAAAGTTACTTGAACAGCCACATGAGAGTACACACAGGAGAGAAGCCTTTTGAATGTATGGCATGCGGAAGAGGTTTTGTTCGAAAGTGTCATTTGGACAGTCACATGAGGGGTCATAGAGGTGAGAAGTCTTTCTCATGTATAACTTGTGGAAAAGGTTTTAATGAAAAACGCAGCTTAAATAGCCACATGAGAAGTCATACAGGAGAAAAGCCGTACCCATGTATAACATGTGGGAAAGCTTTCAATGATAAAGCTGCATTGAATGTTCACATGAGAGTTCATACAGGAGAAAAGCCTTTCTCATGTATAACCTGTAAAAAATGTTTCAATCAAAAAGTTAGTCTGATAAGCCACATGAGAACTCACACAGGAGAGAAACCTTTTTCATGTATGATCTGCCAAAAACGGTTTACTGTAAAATCTAATTTGGATAACCACATGAAGACCCATACAGGAGAGAAGCCATTCTCATGTACAACCTGCGGAAAATATTTCAGTCGCAAAGCTCACTTGAATGGCCACACAAAAACTCATACCGGGGAGAAGCCTTTCCCTTGTACAACCTGTGGCAAAAATTTCCGTCGCAAAGCTCATTTAAATAATCACATGAGAACTCATTCAGGAAAGATGTCTTTTCCGTGCATAACCTGCGGAAACATGTTTACACATGACAATGATTTAAATAGCCACATGGGGCTTCATGGTGGAGAAACCCCTTACTCATGTATAGCCTGTTGGAAGGGTTTTAATTAAAAATAAAAGTTCTGCTTGTTTTGGAACTCATACAGGGGTCTGTTTCACAAAGCAGGTTTGACAAACTCAGATTTAAATCCTCAGCTCTTAACTGAATTAGCCTCAGGTTGGAAACTCTTGAGTTTTCAGTTTCAATAAGGCTGTTCTTGTTCAGTAAACTGCTGTCCTCTGTTTTGGCTGTCCTTAGTGCTAATTACATTATTTTATTTCCTAATTTAGTTCGAAGATTTCTGTTTTAGTTTTGTGCAACCACAAAAAAAAATCATTCACTAGGTCCGTTTGACACATTAGCTTTTAAAATCAAATATTGCATGACGAGGATCCTATTAAAGAATTATTACCATAAATTCACAAAGAAATATTTATAGGGATTGGATTCTACAACTCAGCTGACAGGCTATGAGATTTATTGGAGTTTGTTTTGTTAAATATGGGCGACATGCAGATATTTTTTTCTTTTTTTTTTTTTTTTTTACAGTACATGAAGAACTCAGATTATTTTCAGATTACACTTAAATAGATTAATTAATTTCATGGGATAAAAAGTAATTACTGAAGAATTAGGATTCCTTCAGTGATAACAACAATCTACTGAGCCTAATAACGGGCATTTATTTGTATTACAACAACCGAAGCAGCTACAAACAGCCACTTAATATTTACTGCGTAATGGAAGACAGAATCAAAATGAGGAGGAACCCCATGAGATGATGCACGGGTCTTACCTGTTAGAACAACATTTTGATACCCCAACTTCACTATGTAATGTTATCATAGTTTCCACAGGGTATGGCAAGCCATTTTGATATGTATTAGTTTGACTGGAGGTGTATTTCACATATCTGAAAAAACATTGTGTTCTTGTCATAATGGCCATTTCAAACAAAATGACGTCCTTCACATCTAGAATAGAAATTCTGGGTCTGGGGGTGGATGCCCGGGGGGCTGCTGGCTCATTCCAGGTGGCCTCTCCGCTGGCCCCGGCCGGCCGGGGCTTTGCTGGGGCTCCTGTCTGGGGATCGTGGCTGTGCTGCTTTGGCTTCGTCCGGTGGGGGAGCGGCGTGGTTCGCTCCGCTCTGGCTTTGTGCTGCCCCTCGGGCTGCTGGGGGGGGCGGGTGGTTGCGCCGGCTGCGGTCTGCTCTTCTTGCGGTTTTGCGCCGGGCGGCTTTTCTGCTGTCGGGCTGATTGTGTGTGCGGTGTGTTGCGTTGCGCGCTGTTGGCATCGGTCTTGGTGGGGTGCGGCTGCGCTTTTGGCCGGGGGGGTGTTTTGGGGGGGTCCCGCCGCGCTCGCGGCCGGTTCGAGGCGGATGCGCATGGGCCCTGGCTGCGGGCGGGGCCGCCTGAGTGTTTTTCCTGGGTGGTGCGGTCGTGGTGGGTGTTGCGGCCGGTCGCCGGGGCTTGGTGCCGGGGGGCGGGGCGTGTTTCGGTGCTCTGTGGGGCTGGGGTGTTTCGGTCGGTGCCGTGGGGGGCCTGGTGTTCGGTGCCCGGCCCTACTTCAGGGTGGCCGGCTGCCCCGCCTTGGTGCCTTCGCTTCTGGGGTCCCCTTGGGCGCCTGGGGCTTTGGGTCTCCCGGCGCTGGACTCAGTGCTCTGGGGGGTGTGCCTCTCCGGCTCTCCACAACCACTATTGAGCATTTTTTCTATGGTTAAAACTTTACATGCACAAGTTCACCCTCACAAACAACTACAGGTGCTAGGCTTCAGGTACTTAGAGATTCACTTCCAAACAGAAACCCCACATTCATATCTTCAGGTAACACAGAGTACATGTCAGACTTAATAATATTACTTTAGCGATAGTTTCAAGGTGTTTGCTTTATTGTATATCTCGTACCATGTCTTTTGGTTGTGCTGTTCTTTTTTTTCATCTCATTGCAGGTGATGAAGCAGACTGAAAATGTTTTGTCATTGTCTCCTTTCTATCTCCTCTTTCTTTCATCTTTTGTCCCTTTTTTTCTTTTTCCTTCTTCTTCTTCTTCTGTTTTTCTGCTCTACTTACATTGCAGTGTCCATATGAACTGTAAAACTCCCTGCATAATTATAATAAAGCAATTTATATACATGACAAGTGGAGCGGTACACTTGTGAAAGTAAAATCTGTTTCGCTCCTTTTGGCATCAAGACAATTATTCTTATTGCCACCTTGCCAGACAGGACACTGTAAAAAAAAAAAAAAAAAAAAAAAAGAAATTCTGGATGTCTAGAGTTGAATTTCAGATCCTCATGTTCCTATTGTTACTGGTCATCATTTGTATTATTTTGACTTTGAAGAAATGTATATCGGATATCATAAATACATATTCAGTCAAGCTGGTAAATGACAAAATGACCACTTAAAATGTGTAAACAGTTTTTTTTTTTTTTTTTTTTTTTTTTTACAGTGTCCTGTCTGGCAATGTGGCAATAAGAATAATTGTCTTGATGCCAAAAAGAGCCCAACAGATTTTACCTTCACAAGTGAAGCAGTAGGGCTATCGCCATAGAAAAAGATGAAGGAAAGAGGAGATAAAAGGGAAATAAAACATTTTCAGTCTGCTTCATCTCCTGCCAAGAGATGTAAAAACAACTGCACAACCAACGGACATGTTACTGGACATACAATAAAGTAACACCTAGATACTATCGCTGAAGTATAAGTAGTATTATTTAATCTGGCATGAATTCTTTGTTACCTGAAGATAAGAATATGGGCTTTCTGTATGGAAGTGAATCTCTTAGTACCTGGAACCAAGCGCCTGTAGGTGTTTGTAAAAGTGTACTTGTGCATATAAAGATTATCCAAAGGAAAAAATGCTCAATAGTGGTTGTGTAAACAGTTCTAAATATATAAAACTCAGTTGTTACTTCTTCTATTTATTTTTTTTAACCTTCTGAAATTCAGTTTCTGCTGGCCAAAATTTAATATTTAGAACTTCTATTATTACAGTTCTGATTAGGAATGTGATTTTAACAGGAAGTGATCCACAAACAGAACAACACAGAGGAGTGTGCATTTAAAAATGATTTTTAAAAAAATGAATAAAGACCTGCCATATGACCCATGCATTAACTTGCAGCAATCTTCTAACATGCAATCTCCCTCTCCTTTGCAGCTGTAGCTTTGTTGCTCTTTAAAAAAAAAAACTTTTTCCTATTAGTTTTTTTCATTTCTGCATTAACATCTCTAGTTCCAGTTGGGTAAAATAAGTACTTTCTGTTGCCTGTCATCATCATATTTGTTACGCACGTGCCTCACTCACAGCAGCCTTTGTGAGACCAAAAACACAGTTTCTAACCTTAGGATAAATCAATTTAGAGTTGAGGATTTGAATTTGGAGTTTGTTAAACCTGCTATGTAAAATGGACCCCACTTGAAACATAACCTATATAAGCCTTTAGCTAAAGAAATTATTTGAGATATCTCAGGACAAATCATGCATTCCTCAAAACATTTTCTTGTAAGGAGCAAAATCAAATATTGATAAACCAAAGTGTACCTGAAAATACTCCCACTAAAAATCTCAGGCTTTGCTGACTCTGGTGAATTGACTAAGCCTTAGGAAAAATATGTGCAGTTCAATTAAATAGCCATTGAAAGAAATTTTATCTTATTCAGTTTTCAGTAACAGAACAAGTAGCAAGTGCTGTACAAGGACATAACACACAGGAAAGTACATTGCTTATGCATAAACAAGACACATTAAAGATTAACAGTGTTGAGCAGGAACACTTATTTATCTAGTATATACTTTGTTGGATATTTAGTGCTGTACAAAAGATTCAGGTTTGACTAATGCATCTCTTGAGTAGAAACAACTGTTCACCTCATCTATAGTCATCAACATGTCAGTGTTTTCTGGTCTGATATACATAGTTGGAGCTTACTCGTTAATCTTGAGATCATTTTTACTAAATACTTATTCATATGTGCAAATGAAAGAATATCACTTTATTTGTTTTAATTAAGAAAATACATGTCTTTCAGATGTATTTTCTTAATTATTCAGTCACTTCAGTCCATCTCTAGATTATTAAAATAAAATATGCCATGATAAAAAAAAAAAAAGAAAATATGTTCCCTACCTGCCTTTGTAAACCCACACTCCTCCCAGTCATGGCAGCAGGCTTAAATCTGACACAATCAGCCTTTGACATTTGTCTAGGACTCTTTCAAAACTGTCAGTTTGCACCAGAGCAATCTGTTGTTTCTGGGCTACGATTTGCCATTTGAATCAGTCAAAAATAAAAACTGAGCAAAGCTTTTGTTGTATGTCTCTAAATCTATGCCATTATTGCTTCTGTGTCCCTTTTATATCATCTTTATGTACAAAATGCTCTTTCTACAATCTCTGATATGAGAACAACTATATATCTGTCAGTTGTACTGCCTTGATTTATTGTTTTTCACATTTTTGTATAATAAATGATAATAAAGACAGGTGAGGTTGGACTACACACTTTTTTTTTTTATTTAAAAGTTTATATAGCACAGTAAAAATGCAACTAGAAACATGTTTTACATTTGATTTCAACCAACCTAGTGTTGCAGTACTTTTAAATTGTTCTATACGAGTCTTTCAGATAAGTAGAACAATAAGAAGGAAACAATGCTTCTCAATTTTCTTTCTCGGGTCATCTTAGGCAACTGTAATGTATCATAAAATCTATTGTCTGTGATCCAGATAGCCAGTCTAATATGACCGATGTGCTCTACTTTCTTAGTTTAGTGATGATCCACCTGGGTGATTATGGATCAGCTAAAGTTGTCTGATCCAGTTTTTAGGCAGATCTGTGAGGAGACTGTTGCAGGAATCAACTGAAGATGCATGGATGGGTTCAGGTTAAAGTTTTTCTAGGTCAGTCTTAATCCTGGAAATGTTCAAATAAGGATGAACCCAATAACAGTGTAGCACACATAGACGTCGTTTACTATTAAAAAAATGAACATCCAGCTCTCCCATCTTTCTGGCCATTATATACACACCATAATAGGATCATCACCATCACATCATCATAGGATGGGTCCATTTAGAAATGATAAACAGACATCTATGTATGTAAAGGTGTTTCTTTGTTTTTCCTTTTACAGCTGCACATTTCAAGTTTTCAGTTTTCAAGTATTTAATTAAGATAAACTGTAGTGGATTAGAAATATACATTTCAGTTCACAAGTGGGCCAGTTCAATACAGTTTGGTTCAGGTTTAATGATGCAGAAAACAACAATCTGTTGGTACAATTTATTTATGTCGTTTTATAATAATAAATAAGTGCTATCAAATATTTACTCATGTGCTTGCATTGATTATCTTTGGCCATGCTTTTTTTTTTTTTAAATAAATAATCGGTCTCCGTCAGTCACGTGACATTTGTTGCTAAGACGCCATTTTTGGCGTAAAGGCGTAGTGTAAACAACCGCAGTATAGCTAAACGAAGGACTAAAGGATTGAGTTTGTCTCTCTGACTATATGGAAAAAAGTAAGCAGAATGTGAAATTACCGTAGGCTACGGTGTCGTGCCAAGGTAGTTATCCCTGCGAAAATTTGTATCCCCTCGTCGGGATCGCGCACGGAGTAGGAAGAACAACCCGAGTTAACTCCGCTTCGATTCCAACGTGCAGAACTTGAAATTTGAAAGGTTTTACGTACATGAGAGTTGAGCTTTACTGTTTTATTCTTTACTTCACATGTTATAGCAGAATATCGCCAGTGATATTGATCTAAAACTAATAATAAAACACAAACGTTTGCTTGAAAGCTGGTCGCTGACAGCAGTGTCTACTCCTTCCTCTGAAAGCAAACAGATCCTTGTTCTTTTCCACACGTTCATTAAAAAAAATCTCTCATTGTTTCAGTGTCCAAATGTTCTCATCCCATTGAAAACTGTTGTAAACCATATACTTGTAATAAAAATGAAATAGAAAATGGAGTGCACGTGTAATCATTAAAAACTACTGTATATGCAGAAGGAAATAATTTTTTCCTCGTTGAAATTTGGTACTTAAATCTATATTTGTGTTTATAGTAACTTGCAATGTATCTATGTTGTACTATCCTTAATAAACAGTTTGTGTTCTAACATCAGCCATTTTATTTCATCCCATTTTGCCAGAACTGGCAATATGGGATGAAATAAAACCTGCTGTAATCTGTTCCCCCTGTCTAAATCATGCAAGAAAGGCCCCAGCTTTTTCATTTTTGGCTTATAAGTATCTTTTATGATGACAATTTATTCCTGAAACTTTGGATGTGATGGACCTTTATTTCTTAAAGTTACAAGGAGGGAACAAATTATAGCAGGCCACCTGCTGTAATCTGTTCCCCCTGTCTAAATCAGACAAAAAAGGCCCCAGCTTTTTCATTTTTGGCATCATAAAAGATGCTTATAAGCCAAAAATGACAAATCTGGGACCTTTTTTGCCTGATTTAGACAGGGGGAACAGATTATAGCAGGTGGTCTGCTATAATCTGTCCCCCCCTTGTAACTTTAAGAAATAAAGGTCAATCAACTCCAAAGTTTCAGGGGTTAGTTGTCATCATAAAAGATACTTATAAGCCAAAAATGAAAAAGCTGGGACCTTTTTTGTCTGATTTATACAGGGGGAACAGATTATAGCAGGTGGCCTGCTATAATTTGTTCCCCCCTTATAACTTTAAGAAATAAAGGTCAATCAACTCCAAAGTGTCAGGGGTTAGTTGTCATCATAAAAGATGTTTATAAGCCAAAATTAAAAAAAAAGCTGGGGCCTTTTTTGTCTGATTTAGACAGGGGGAACAGATTATAGCAGGTGGCCTGCTATAATTTGTTCCCCCCTATTAACTTTAAGAAATAAAGGTCAATCTACTCCAAAGTTTCAGGGGTTAGTTGTCATCATAAAAGATGTTTATAAGCCAAAAATGAAAAAGCTGGGGCCTTTTTTGCCTAATTTAGACAGGGGGAACAGATTACAGCAGGTTTTATTTTATCCCATATTGCCAGTTCTGGCATATGGTCTTTAATGATTACACGTGCACTCCATTTTCTATTTCATTTTTATTGCAAGTATACGGTTTACAACAGTTTTCAATGGGATGAGAACATTTGGACACTGTGAAACAATGAGAGATTTTTTTAATGAACATGTGGAAAAGAACAAGGATCTGTTTGCTTTCAGAGGGAGGAGTAGACACTGCTGTCAGCGACCAGCTTTCAAGCCAACGTTTGTGTTTTATTATTAGTTTTAGATCAATATCACTGGCGATATTCTGCTATAACATGTGAAGTAAAGAATAAAACAGTAAAGCTCAACTTTCATGCACGTAAAACCTTTCAAATTTCAAGTTCTGCACGTTGGAATTGAAGTGGAGTTAACTCGGGTTGTTCTTCCTACTCCGTGCGCGATCCCGACGAGGGGATACAAATTTTCGCAGGGATAACTACCTTGGCAAGACACCGGGACTGGCAGCCTCTCACACAACACGATCGTGTCATTTCTGGTAAATAATTGTGCCGAAAGAACAGCCGCGTGTGGCTTATCTCGACTTTACGCCTAATATGGTGGTTTTCCCACGATGCACCGCGCCCGAGGTAAACAATTGACGTCACCTGGCGGAGACCGATTGCCCCAAATTTTATTTGGTGCCTATTGTGCCCCTGTATAGTATTGGGTCAGCTGACGCCCCTGCTCCGGACGGGAGGAGCCGCGGAGGATGAACTTTGCTTTGCGCAGGCGCACTGGAGCGCAGCGGGGCGGAGCGTTTGCGGAGGATGTGGGATTTCGGAGATGAGGGTTCTAGTTACTCACTGAACAGGATCCCTTTCTGTCCCTCTGTCTCCTCTGCGGCTAATGGACGCTGCGGGCTCAGCTTCTGGAAGGAAAATCAGCCTCTTTTTTTATTTTGTTGCAAAAAAAGAACATACAAGAACACTATAGAACATTATTAATTACAAACAGATACAACTTCAAAGGGCTTTATAAAACAGAACAATTTTACGATGTCAAAATCAAATCTGTGCTCGAGGGTTGCAAATCTTTAAGGGCAGTTATGATTTTAATGGCTTTAGCATTTGAACTGAATTCTAAAGATTCTATATAGATATTATTAGAAGATAATAAAATCTGGAAATTAGGTTTTTGTTGTAAATATTTGGAGGTGTGTATATGATATTTACCATAAATAATAAAAAGAAAATTAACAAAATATAAGAATTGTGCTTTGACATGTTCACATTTCTCCATCCCAAACAAAACATCCTTATCTGTTAAAGTAATATTGAGATTTCTTTGACATTGACTTCTCTTTTTAAAAAATGCATTAACAGAATAAACGTTATGAATAATTGTATAAGAAATTTATCTTATTTTGTTGTTTATTAAGTATTTTTTAAGGAGCAGCCAAGTCCACTTCCAATTTATATTTTCAAAAATGTTGGACCAATAAAATACACAAGCAGGTGAAAAAACAACATCTCGTAATAGAATATTTCTTAATCTTTTGTTTGTTGTTTTCTTACTTATAAAAGAACAATCGTAATCAATATAAATGGAGTTTGGATCAAAATTTGGCATTTAGTGAATTTGATGTGTAGGGAAAGATGATAAAAGCTTTAATGACCCACTGGGGATTGCGTGAAACACAACAGCATATTCTTTAGGGGTAACAGGAAATTGGAAAAGTAACATAAAGTCAGAATAAGATAATAAATGGCCATTTGGATTTAGTAATTGGCTTACAAGTAATATTCCCCTATCAAACCATTTTCTATAAAAGATTGTCTTATTTTTGTATTTAATGTCTTCATTATTCCAGATATAATATTTATGAGGAGAAAATTTGTGCTTATACAAACGTGACCAGCTTAACAGCATTTGTTTATAAAATGTAGATAATTTTAAGGGTATTTTGGGTATACTGTAATTGCATCTAAGAAGAAAGGGTAATCCTCCAATTTTGTCAAAGTTGTAAGAGGATGGGTTTTTTTAGAATATTTTTTAAATATTTAATTTTGAATGAATTGTTTAGAGATGTGAAGTCAAGGGCTTCAATTCCTCCTTTTTCAACTTTATTCATTAGAATATTTTTCTTGATAAGATGGCATTTCTTTTTCCATATAAAGTTAAAGTTTATTTTATTAATGTTGGTACTGATCTTTTTGGGAACATATGTATATACATATATATCTATATATATAGATATATATATATGTCGGGGGGGGGTGAAAATAGAATGCATGTATGCTCTGAATAAAACTGAACAACACAACAAACGGCGCTTAAAATCCGCTAATAATTATTTTAGCAGCACAAGCTTTTCAAAGCTTAACATAAGCAAACAAAGTAATTATGACATGAAATGGAAAAATTGTTACTTTTATATGGATGAAAGGTTAGCTCCTGTTGGTTACCATTATGTTCAGATGCTCACAGCAACCCTGTCTGTCTTTTACATTTCTGAATTGCATTTAGAACATTTCACCTTTTATTATTTGTCTTTTTTTAACCAAAATCCATCCATGGAAAAAATGACTAGCATTCTTAGTGTAGAATGAAAATGTAACATGAGAACATGTTCATGGATCGTACGTACTATGGAGGTTTAGTGTATTTTTTACGAGGGACTTTTAGTTGCTGCCAGCAGGGAGATGATCAGTTTCTGTCTTCTCCCCGTTAGTCCTGTCAGGGTCGCGGTTGGGCTAGTAGCCTGGCAGTCTATGGGGCAATAGCACACCTGGACAGGGAGAGGCACAACCATGCGCACATATACTCGCACCTAAGGACTACTTAGCCACATATCTTGACAGTAAGGTTTTTGGACTGTGGGAGGAAGCCAGAGTACCTGGAGAAAACCCACGCGTGCACAGAGAGAACATGTAAACTCCATGCAGGAAGACCCTGGGAATCGAACCCAGAACCTTCTTGTTGCAAAGGCAACAAGGCTACCCACTGCAGCCCCATACAGTATTTACACATAAAAATAGGTGGAATGAACACACTTCAACCATGAAGTTTATTTAAATAGAATCTGCCTTTTTATTTAGAAATATCCATACAGTTTCATACATATCTTTTAATAATAACAGTAAATAATTTAAATATTTCTATATTTAGCTCCTTCTCCTGTGACCTTCATGGGTCCCCCACCTGCACTAAACTGACTGTGGTTCTACTCTTGCAGTGAGGCGTAGAAGAAGTTCTTCTCGTTCTGCATTTGCTGCCGGAATATTTCATTGGCCCGTTTGATCTGACTGGGCGTCGTCAGGTACTTGTTGAGCAGATCCCTGTAGTGCTTTTCTGGGTTCCCGTGCATGTTGTTCTTCTTCCAGATGAAGTAGGCGTTGCAGTAAGTCTCCTGGAGCTGGTTGGCAATCCAGATCCAGAGCCTGGAGCAGGGAAGCAGACTCACAGCAAAGAAAATGGGTTTCTCCTTCACCATGATGGTTTTATAATCAGCAAGGTATTTCTCCATGGCGGGGATGGGTTTGATGTCTGGTAGGGCCTGCAAAGAAATGAAAGCATCAGGAATCAGCCAACTGAAAAGTCTCACATGTAAATCTTCTCCTCCCAGCTTTAGCTAAGTCTGTTCAGATTCTTACATTCAGGTTGAACTGCTTCAGCATCAGATCTGCAAACTTTTTGTAACTCTGGTATCTGTTCTCCATGAAGAACCTGAGGTCGTCGGGTTTCTTGACCTTCTGCGCCATCTGCTTCAGCATGTCTGTCACGTTCAGCAGGTAGTAGATGTCTTGGAGCATGAAGCTGACGTAGTCGTCGGCCTGCAGGTCACCGGACTGCATGTGCTGCAGAAATGGCACCGACAGCGTCTGCTTGGCCATGTCCTCGTTGTCAGTCCACAGACTATCGTAGATGTCCTGAACGTCTCCTGCAGATAAATTGGCCCAAAATCAGACAAAAAACTTCTCCTGCTTTTAAGTTTTCAGCAAAACCATGAAAGTCTGAGTTTAATTTAAGAGAAAAGTGGTTTAAAGCTCCTGATTTTTACTAAAATGCTTCAGAATGAAACAGCAAAGCAGAAATGAGCAGATTGAAGATTTTATTTATTTCTTTTCTGTCAGTGATCTAGTGGCCTACTTCTTGTATGCTGACCATTGCTTTCTGTAACACCATTGTTGATGCTTTTGTTTTTTTGGTTTTCAGACTTTAAGCTGTTGCTAATGCTTGCCTTGCTGCCACCTAGCTATGCAGTGTGGATGTATCTGTTTTACTAGGAACACAATAATATGTGAAGAAATAAAAGCCAGAAATATTAGTTTAAAGGAGTGGAGTAGGAACATAGAAAACATAAAAGTACATAAACCAAAAAGGATATCAAAATGACAACAATAAAAGACTGAAAGATGAAATTATACTGCTTCAGAAAAGCTAATTTTGTGTATTTAACCTAATCCGGTTTCCAGCCAAGTAGGTCAGCAGCTCCTTATTCATAAAATCTACTTTTAGTATCTCCACTCTGTGGACAAATATATAGAAAATAATGCTTTTACATTTAAATTATTTGAGATTGTCCAATACTTGCATGTTATTCCATGGAATAAAAAGGTTTTCCTTTAAAATCCACAAACAATCTAAGCAGAATCTGCCTTTTGTAATGAGGATCTGTTAATGTTTATAGTTCTTTTCAGTTTAAAGGCTTGTTTTCAGACGGTCGGCGTACCGCTGTACCCATCCTTTGGTTCGGTTGGGAGGCCGCAGCAGGCAGACAGAAGGCTCACCACCAGCCAGCCCGCCTGAAACCAGAACGTCCTTCCTGTGGATGTCAGAAATAGAGAAAGTTCAGAAAAAGTGTGATAGATCATCATCAGAGTATCAGATCCAGAAAAGTGAGGTAGTGAAGGGAATGGACCAGCAGACCAGCCTCTATGACCCAGCATCGTTTTCAGCACTTCCATCTTAATCATAAAGGTTCTTGTTCTATTAGATCTTAACTAATCTGGAAGAAAGAGAAGTTACCTGAGTCCATCCTTCAGTGTGTGAGGCCTTCGATCGCAGTCTGATGCTGCACTGCTGATGCCCATCTGAAGTCTTCCTTTTAAAGAAACAAAGTCAGGGTGGAGTCGGAACATTTTCCTTCATCATTTGATGTCCAAACATTAGCTTGTTGCTGTGGTTGAAACTAATATTGACTAACTTTCTTCCTGTCTGACATCAAAAAATACTTGATGTCTCACCCCCCTATTGCCCAACGTGTTAGAGAAAACAGTATTACATTATAGTGAATCATAAAGAGGAATTAGTGTAGATTCCATTTCTCAAAAAGAGTTCACAATAATGATGCCAAGTCTATTTGTGCTCTGTGCCTTGAACAATCATCCCTTCCTCCCTGGAGCCATTTTATGTTTCCTAACATCCTAGAATTACAGAGTATTTTGAGAGTTTCCTCCATTTCATTAGTAGAATTTGGGCCCTAACCTCCAACCAAACTCTGAAGACATATTAATTTGTTTATTGGGATAAAAACAATAAATATGACAAAATCACAGACTGTTCAGTGTTGTACTTTCAGCCCCCCTAAAATCATACAGTAGAGCATCCTACAGCAGCAATCCCAGCTAGAGGTCTCTTTGGATCAGTCTCTCTGAGATTGACTTATTTGACTAATTCACTCCAGCTTCTTCATGCTGGATGGTTTGCAGTGTAGAACAGTGATCCCCAAGTCTAACCACAGACTCAATTGTTAGAGGTCTGGACTTTGACTGGACCATTTCAACATGTTGAATGTTGACGGCTCTGATGGTTCTCTGGAAGAGTATCAAAAATTATGATATTCTTCAGCATACATATTCTTTATTTATATACTTATTATATGTATGTTTGTTTTTCCCTTACTAGTTAGAAGACTTAGACTCTCTCTATCTATCTATCTATCTATCTATCTATCTATCTATCTATCTATCTATCTATCTATCTATCTATCTATCTATCTATCTATCTATCTATCTATCTATCTATCTATCTATCCATCCATCCATCCATCCATCCATCCATCCATCCATCCATCCATCCATCCATCCATCCATCTATTCAGACTGGATAGAAATTGGTCAATGACTTCATCTGGATGGCATTAAATAGGTATCTTATACTAAAACATATTGCTGTTATTTCTTAATCAGGGCTTATCATTTATATCCATTATTAAAGTTTTTAGAATTTCTTTTGTTCCTGCAAAATTAATATATTCTTTACTATCAGGAAGTCTACAAACTGTAGTTAAAAGCCTTAAGCTGATCCAAAATTCTGCTGCCAGGGTACTGATGGAAATTAAAAAGAGAGATCATATCTCTCCTATTCTAGTTTCTCTTCATTGGCTTCCTGTTAAATCCAGAATAGAATTTAAAATCCTCCTACTCACATATATAGGCTAAATAACCAAGCTCCGTCTGATATCAGAGATGCTGCTGCAGGTGGTTTATATCTCCTTCTATTGAAAAGCCACTAGGCTGTCTTTTAGTGTTTAACTATGTTATAACCAGTGGTGTCAAACATACACATTTGTTACTTAAGTAGAACTATAGATACTGTAGTTTAAGTATCAACTTGACCTCTTTACTCAAGTAAAAGTGAAAAAGTATGTGCTACAAAAAAATCTTAAACTATAAAAGTATAAAGTAACCTTTAAAAAAAACTGCCAGGTGCCACTATATGAACAGAAAGCTTAATTTTTTGACTATTTGGAAAACTTCTTTGAGATAGGGCCGAGGATGAGGGAGGTCTTGTTGGTCTCCGTCTCCTGATACCCTCTCGCCTGTGTCCGACCTTTCAGACATTTCAACATCTTTTCCTGAATCCTACATTGTAGCATGGCATAGACAGTTCACATTTGTAGTTTGAAGAACACCTGCTTGCTTCTGATGATTTCCTTTAGCTAACCAATGAGTGTTTGCGTTATATGACTCATCCAGTTACACTAGTTTTCACTAGATGTGGATGGCGCCAATGATCTGCATTGGATGGTGCACATGACGTGAAAAAAATATTTATAAACATTAAACCAAAGCCAAGAGTAACGAGTAATGTTTGTTTTAAAAATGTAAGGAATAGAAAGTACAGATACTTGTGTGAAAATGTAATGAGTAGAAGTCAGAAGTAGGAAGAAAAATAAGTAATGGAGTAAAGTATAGATACCTAAAAAGTCTACTTAAGGACAGTAACGAAGTATTTGTACTTTGCTACGTGACACCTCTGGTAATTTTTCTTTTCTCTTTGCTCTTGTAGACGTGAATACTGAGACATCTGTTAAGCTGTGCTTCTCTTCAGTCCTTATTTATCTAGATGAAGCCACTATAGGCGCTACTGTGACTAACCTCCAACTTTTCTTTAACATGGGAGGTAATCTGGTATCAGTGCTTCTGTCTTGTTAAACACCCACTCAGCCTAGGCAGAAATACATTCACACTGAGTCTGGTTCTGGTCCGGGGGTCTTGCATTGAAGGAGGAGGTTTTCCTCTCCACTGCCGCTGAATAGTTTCCTTCAAAAGAAAACTTTTATCAATCTGACTGGATGATCTGATAACTGAATTTGTAAAGCCATTTAAGATTACAAGTTTTGGAAATTTGTAAAAGGCAGTCCAGTGAAAAACAGATTATTTATCCTAATTAAATATAGAAAGTACTGACAGTTTGTAACAATTTGGGGAAAATTTTGTTCCGTCATGACATAAACTAATTTGGAGCAATGTGATGCCAAAGCCAGATTGCAGTAGCCGAAGGTAACAAAATATTTTCTGTTCAAATGTTTCAGTAGCGTATTTACACCAAAAAGGTCACAGTTACTAATAAACAAAAGTTTATCAGATTATATATTTGTAGAAAGATCATATGTGAGTAAAAATAGAGATTTATAATTTTCTGACTTAAATATTTTCATTATTTCCCGTAAAATCTGTTCTTACTGTAAAGGAGAACTGTAAAGGAGAAAAGAAGAACCTCTGACCTACACTGACTAAATATTGACTGTGACTATGACCTTGGAAGATCTGAGTCACATTCTGTATAGAAAGAGATCTTTCCACTGACCACTTACAGTAATAACAGAAAAATTCCTGGGAATTAAACTAAAGAGGAACTAGAGACATTTCTCAAACCACACCTTGGATCAGCTGTGAAGAACTGAGGAAATGGTCTGGAAATCACAGAATAACCAGCTGCAGCCATGAGACCAGCACATTTCACAGATCCAACTCAATGGTTCTGTGTGAACTAACAAGGAATTATCCTCAGTTTTCATAATCAAAATCATTAACGGTTCAAACTTCAACCACAACACATAGAAAGATTGCTGAACAGGGAAAATGACAGGTGGTTATTGTTCAAAAACCATTTGTCCAGAAAAGTGTGTGACTACTCAGAGTCATCGAGTTCAGAGAGTCACCCTGGTGACAGAAACCGTCTCGGTGTCCGACTGTTTCTGCCATCAGAAACAATCAGACCATCATTCCAGGCAGGGTCTGCAGATACATTAGGTGCTCTTTTTGAGATCTCAAACTTTCATAGGCCATGGATGGAGGGAAGTAAATTAAAAATGTGTTTGAAGAGCAAAATAGTCACAGAAATGTCTTGAATCTGAAGTAATTCTTTCTAGAACCATGTTCCCTACAGTTTTAGATCCATCCATCCATTTTCCATCTCGCTCATCCCTGCTGGGGTCGCGAAGGGTGCTGGTGCCCATCTCCAGCAGTCAATGGGTGAAAGGGCACCCTGGACAGGAAAAAAAAAAACAGTCCATTGCAGGGCAACACAGAGACAAACAACCATTCACGCACACACTCACTCCTAAGGAGGATTTAGAGAAACGAATTAACCTAACAGTCATGTTTTTGGACTATGGGAGGAAGCTGGAGTACCCGGAAAGAATGCTCAGGAACAACAGACTACATGCAAATAGACCCAGGCCGGGAATCAAACCCAGAACCTTCTTCCAGCAAGATGTAATATTTTGAACGTGTGACTCTGAATGGGAGCAATAACTGAAACAGTTGGTATAATTGAAAAGTTTATTGAAAGAATGGAAATGAACAAGATTGAATTTCAGCTGGTCGGGGGTCTTGTGAGCTCTGCTGGGAAAGATAGGGAGGATAGTGAAAAACTTGAGCTTTGGGATTTGTGAAAATGATGTTTGGATGATGAACTCACTGAGGTGGGGGCTTGGGCTTGGTCTGGGGGAAGAAGTGCATTTCAGTTGTCCGGGTTGTTGGTGCAGATCCAGATCCTCTCTCTGTGTTGGTTTGTTGGAGGGTGGACAGGCAGACGACTGCAGGCAGGAGGGCTGACAGAAGGATCCAGGGTTCTTCTCTGGTACAAGACGGTTTCCAGGAGTTTTTTTTTTACTTTTTTAGTCTGATCCAAGGCGTGGGTTTCCAGGTCTTTCACTGGATGGCTTTCTAGGAGGAAACGACAAGAACGAGGTCAGGTTAGGGATAATAGGTTTAAACAAGGAGATGGTCAGTACCACGCTGAAGCGTAAACAAACTGACGCCCTACTTCTTGTTCTTCTTTATGGAATTTTTTGACAGTTGGCACGCAACAAAATGGTGCATTACCGCCACCAACTGGTATGGAGTGTGGATTAGAATGGCTAATAATTTATACTAAACAAACAAGTCACAATCAAATTACAAAAACCAATATCAACAAAACCAAAATAAGATTCAGATCCTCTCAATTACATTTATTAATCTAAGATAATGAAAAACAATTACATAACACTTATCTCTTGAGTTTCTCTAAGTATTTCTTTCAAATCAAATTGTATTCTTTCCATTTTTAGATTTTGAACCTTTTTTTTTCTCCTTTCTCTTTCTTACTTCCTACAGTATCTGACACCCTCCTTCTTCTTCTTCTTCTTCTTCTTTTTTTAATGGCGGTTGGCAAACAACTTATAGGTGCATTACCGCCACCTTCCAGAATGGAGTATGGATCAGACAAACTATTATATTCTCCCTAAAATAGCCGTTCTTCTTAGAAAATTAAAAATACTCCCAAACACTACATCCCCAGATGACCTTTGAAACAATTCCCTTATATCTAGTTTACTTTTATTCCTG